AAAATTTCTGCCTTGGTTACTGTGGATCTCCAAGGGCACTCCAAATCGACAGATAAACTCTTTTAATAACACATCTGAAACAGTTGCGCCCTCTTGATTTGGAATGGCATAGACTTCCACCCACTTTGTAAAATAATCTATAACCACCAAAATGTATTTATTACCATCCCTGGTCGCGGGGAATGGTACAGCAATATCTAAGGCGATCCTCCCAAATAAGCTACCAACGTTGTATTGCTTTATGGAAGCCTTCCTTTTCCGTTGAGGTTCACTACTCATAGCACAGGTGGTACATTTCTTACACCAGTCCTTTATATCATCGGAACTGTTCATCCAGTTAAACGTTTCCAGAACTCTTTGAAGGGTTTTCCTAACACAGAGAGGTCCTCCTGATGAACTGTCGTGTAATTGACGAAGTACTTTAGCTACTTTACTTTTTGGAATGACCAACTGTCTTCTGTTCTCGAAACCATCATCATTTTCAAATACTCGCTTTAATAAGCCATCTTCCAGGATTAGGGAGTTCTACTGAGCCAAATACGACTTAAGTACTGGAGAGAGAGTAGATACTTCTTGTCAATTAGGTCGACGATTTTCCTCTTTCCACTGTCGCATCTTCTTTAAAACGGTATCGTTCTCTTGTTCTTTCCTAATTATAGCAGGGGCCCACTCATCGTTGACTACAGTTGTTCTTAGTAGTTACTTTCTTTGGATTCCGCTTTTTTTGCAGTGGGAGCACTCTGCTTGACACGGTCTTCTAGAAAAAGAATCGGAATTTATGTAGCTTATTCCGGCTCGGTGTTCAATCTTAAAGTCGTACTCTTGAAGTCGTTCAATCCATCTGGCGATTTGACCCCCTCCGGGTTCTTAAATTGCATTAACCACTTAAGGGCTGCATGATCGGTCCGGATTAAAAATTTCCTTCCGTACAGGTAATGATTGAAGTGTTCCACGCACTTTACAACTGCCAGGAGTTCTCTTCTTGTGACGCAGTAATTTCGATCAGGTTTCGAGAGCACTTTACTAAAATAACCTAGTACTCTTTCTTTCCCTTCCTGAATCTGTGAAAGCACTCTTCCAATTCCCACATAACTAGCATCAGTATTCAGGATTAATTCTCCCTCTGGTAGTGTGTAGCCTAGTATTGGTGAGGTTTTTAAATGCTTCTTTAATGTTTCAAAGGCAGTTTGGCAGTCCTTGTCCCAGCAGAATTCCCTCGCTTTTTCTGTGAGTCGCTTTAATGGCTTAGCAATATCTGCAAACTTAATGAATCCTCGACATAGTTCAAGAAAACTTCTTATTTGATGTTTATCAGTTGGTTGTTGCCACTCTTTGATAGAAGCAACTTTTTCCTTATCTACAGCCACGCCATCCTTACTGACTATATAACCCAGGTAATTGACTTTATTTTGGAATAGCTAGCATTTCTTGGGGTTTAGCATCAGTTGGGCGGCTTGAAGTCTTTTAAAAACTTCTTCTAAGTTTTTTAGATGTTCATCAAATGTCTTTTCCAAGATTAATGTCATCCAAATATACTGGGCACTGCCAAACATTCCATCATGTTTTCCGGAGTTGATGGGTGGGCAAATCGCACCAACCTGGCAATATCTACTTCATATTCGCCAAAGATAGAAAGGCACCACGTCCTGGAAGACAAAAAGAGCTACCGATGAAAAACAGAACAAAAGATACATAAGATCGTGATGAATTATCATCGAGTAAAGTTGAGAGAGATAGAAAGTATACATTTCATTCGACCGCTTACATTGCATCTTACATGATAAAATTTAGTTCTAGATGAAAATCGACCAAGAGAGAGTTAGATTTACCATTTCACAAAAATGTCAAACATATTCAAACAAAACAGATAATTTGCTACGTTTTATAACCATAGATGAAACGTGGATACATCAATACACTCCAAAGACGGCCAAGACGGTTTTGTCTGCTGGAAAAGTGAAGGCTACTGTCTTTTGTAATTCCCGAGGAAAAATTTTATTGATTACTTACAACACAGAAGGATATTAACAGGTGAATATTATGCTATGTTTTGGACAGATTGAATAACAAATTCTTCTGGTCGAAGAAAAAACTATTGTATGACTATTTACGATTGCAGTTAATTGATGAACATACCCCGTATTTACCAGACTTGGCACCGTCCGATGAATACCAAAATCATCGAAGCTACCGGTAGCTCGCGGAGGAAATTCTGGTAGCTCTCACAACGATTTTAATTTAAAAAATACAAACTTCAAAAATCAGAGAAGCTTCCGAAAATTCCACAAAAAAATCTAATTGTCATAATATTAAACATAAACAGCGGCAACGTTGCGGTGAGCGATCTGACGATGACGCCATCAAGCTAGAATCAGCCGAACTAGCGCGTTAGTGTTCGAGAATAATCAGGATTGCTTTGAACGGGATAAATACTAGAGCTGTGGCAAACCGTATGTATTCGTTACTCAGTAACGGGTAGTCGGTCAGATACGAAATACGAATTCGTTACTGCATTTTAAATTTCGTTACTTCGTTACTCGAATCCGCGTCGTCGCATATCGCACAAACATACCGGTTTGGTGTGCAAGATGCGAAATGCGAGTGTGAGTCTGATGCGAATCGAGCTATCGACTATCAAGTCGCACGGCGCGGCGACATTGAGCTTAGTTTAAAACTGAACGCGTAACCAACGTCCAGCGGTTGGGTTAGTAGAGAACAACAAAAAATAATATTATGGCAAGCAGTTGTAAGAAGGTAAAGACATACCACTTTCATTCGGAATGGGAAGAACAATACTTTTCACAGAAGTTAAAAGATAAAAATGTGTGTTTGTTATGTAATACTTCGGTCTCCGCTGCTAAAAAAGGAAATATTGAGAGACATCATAAAACTGTACATTCTAATTTTGAAAAATCATTCCCACTACATTCTGCCGCCAGAAAGGAGAAGCTGAAACAGTTTAAAAAAGCAGTTAATTGAACAACAATCAATATTTTTAAGAACAGTCGACAAAAATAAGGCTGCAACTGAAGCATCGTACCGTGTGTCCCAGATAATTGCACAAAAAAAAGAAACCTTATGAAGACGGAGAAATGATAAAACAGGCGTTTTTAGAAGCTGCTGATTCGTTATTTGCCAACTTTAGAAATAAAGACGAGATAGTTTCAGCTATAAAATCTCTGCTAATACAGTGATGAGACGTGTAGAAGTAATGAGCAATGATATTTTTTTTACAGCTAAAAACTGACTGAGATAACTGTGTTTATTTTTCACTTCAACTGGATGAATCAACAGATGTCGTTGACATTGCCCAGATGGCCGTGTTCGTCAGGATGGTTTTTAGTGATTTTACGATTAAAGAAGATCTTTTGAAGTTTATTTCACTGAAAGGACACACTACTAGACAAGAGTTGTTTTCTCATTTAAAAAATATTATTTCTTCCGAGAAAATTCCAATATCGAAAATAGTAGGCTTGACAACCGATGGCGCTCCAGCTATGGTGGGTTGTGATAAGGGTCTGGTGGCGTTATGTCGTAAAGATGAAACTTTTCCGCAATTTATCTGTTACCACTGCATTATCCATCAGCAAGCATTATGTGGAAATTTCCTGAAACTAAACAACGTTATGAAACTGGTGGTAAAAATTGTGAACAAGATTAGAGCTCAAGCGTTACAAAGAAGATTATTCAAAACCTTGGCCGAAGAAGTTGACTGTCAATACGGGGACCTACTCCTTCACTCTGAAGTCCGATTGTTATTGGCACGGGTGCTGAAACGTTTTAATGATGTCCTATCTGGCATAGTTCAATTTTTCAAACAACGCGATGAACCGACTCCGGAACTAGAAAATTCAATCTGGCTTAGAGATTTTGGTTTTCTCGTGGACATTACAGAGAAATTAAACGAACTTAATTTAGCTTCAGGGGAGAGACAAAGAACTAGCGGAAATTATTTCTGATATAAAAGCATTTATCAAAAAGCTGGAGTTTTGGGAACAAAACCTAATTAACAGCGATGCCAAGCATTTTCCTATTCTTTCAGAAAAAATATCTCAAAATCCATTAGAACCCGATGACAGCAAATATCATGTAGAAATAGTTTCTACCCTGAAGAATAACTTCAAAAATCGTTTTAAGGATTTCAACGAAATGGCTTTAGTAGCGCAGTTTGTTGTTTCACCCTTTATGGAAATTGATATCCAACAGTTTGCAACTTGTGTTATGCAGAACTTTGGCAAAGACATCGCTGCAACAGAAATGGAAGTAATTAAGTTTCAAAATGATTTAGCCTTAAAATCGTTAGTCTCAAGTACTAAATATCAAGTATCTGGCCTATTGTAAGTAAAGACAAATATTCAGTTCTATGCCGTGTTGCCTTGAAAGTGAAAGCATTATTCAGTTCAACCTATTTGTGTGAATCTTCTTTTTCAATTATGAAGTTTATTAAGAACAAATATCGAAATCGACTTACAGATGAACATTTGGATAATTGTATTCGAATGACTGTATCAAATTATACTGCAAACATTAAAAAAATTATCGATGAGTCTGAGTGTCAGCCTTCTCATTGAACGTGCTTTTTTATTTTTCAATGTTTATGTTCATGATAGTGCGTTACTTTTTTGTTGTTATTATTAACTATTTTTAAATCTTACGTGACATGCCGTTGTGGCTGGATAAAAGTTTGTGTTTATTTTTCAAACACCTTCGTTTGGTAGGTATTATGTATACCAGTTAAATAGTAAAATAAATACATATAATGATAAATTAACTGTGGATTATTTCATTTACGTTGCGTTACGTGGCTTCCGTGTGGGTAGCTCGCTGTTTATTCCAAAATTAACAAAGTAGCTCAACACATTGAGAGGTTGGCGACCACTGCTATAGATGTTTATTTCAACAATTTAAATAATTACTTCTCTTATTTAAAGCATTGACAGAAAATGTAAAAATTTTCACCAAAAAATAGTTCCCTATATAAAAAACGAAATCTCAGTGGACATTTCTTGATATTGGGTCGAATCTCAACCACTAATCCGCGCCTTCCATTGACGTTCCACCCTTACGGACCAGTCTCCCTTGCAAGCACATGCTCAATATTGATTTCTTCGAAGGAGGTGCTCACTTTGGTTTGGAGTGACTCTAGTGGAAAATTTATTCGGACAGTTCTCTTTTAAATGCTCTCCTAGTAATCCCGTGTTTGCCGAAATTGCGTCTCGTTTAATTGTGAAAATGATCTTCAGTGATGTTCTGATATTACGTGCGAGTTACTGCAGTGATAAATATCGATTTTGATTATTTAAATGATTGAAATCGTTGGAATAATACGAGGATTTTATTAATTTGCAAGTATGTTTATTTTTTTGCGTTTTATATGATTTCTATATGAATTATTTTTGCCGATATGTATATCCATAATATCTAACTATATGAATAAGAATATTAAAATTAGATGATATTAATATAGGTCAAAAAGCTTAGTCCATAAAATAATATACTATTTTTCTGTATTTTTGCCAAGTTTTGGCTTATTTATACTTTTTTATATATTGGCCATAGTAACAAAAAGTATTAAATTATTGAAAGACTATTTCTCCTTCGTTTTATATGATTTCGTGGCCTCTACCTTAGGGAGGTCAACTTCAAAAATAGGCCATTTCATTAACAATGGAAAATGCGTTAATTGGAGTTACCGCACGTCAAATAATAACTATTGATCCTAAAATGTCTCATTAGAACTTTGATGGTTTAGAAAATACATGGTGTTGAAATATAAACAGTTTATTTCTATGTTCGCCATTATTATGAAAATTGTAAACCATGTTTTATATTGCTCATAGAGGGCGCTACGTATATCCAAATTTTGCAGATCCTCGTTACATTTATATTTTTTTTAAATGAAATAAATTTGACTTTTTAAATAATTGGGAATACTAATTTTAATTAATTAGTTTTGTTTGTTTGTTCAAATATTATGTCATGTGTATCTTTTTGGTTTTAGGTTGGGTTTTATGATTAGGATTAGTTCGTCCAATTACAATTAGTTTAAATTGTTTCTGAGGAGCATAAATAATAAATAAACTTGCTTTAATAAAAAGGGTAATAACTTGTTAAACTATATATCTAATCTAATGTTATCGGTTCCAAAATCTGAAATAGCAATTATTTTAAAACAAAAAATTATTATCTACAATAGTGTAAACTATTTTAAAAAAGAAATATTAAATGAACAATAACTACTACAGATTATTTCAACAATCAAATCAGCAGATCTTATAAATAAATAAACATCATGCGTGACGAAATACGATTTGCACTTTCAAATGTTATCAGAAATAGGTAAAATAAAAAAAAACTATTCAAAGACGTATAGAAAATTTAAAATATTTTGTGATTTGAATGGTGACATGTAAATAAAGGAAACCAGTTAAACGTATTTTTCTATTAAATAAACATAACCCCTTTGACAACTGACAAAAATTTTATTTAATAAATTAAATATGTTTCATACATTAGTGAGGGTTAGGATATCCTTGTGCATTAGAATGGCGTCTGCAGACCAAAATTTAATTGTAACTATTTCCGTAATTTATCGGGCACGGTGGTGTAGCGGTCTATCGCGCTTATATTCATTTATAGGCAAGTTTATGAGTCTGAGACTGCTGGGTTTCGAATCCCAGACCAGACCATGTGGATTTTTAATTAAATTGCATGGTTCGGTTTAGGATTTGATGTGTGGCGTATTAATAGAAATTCAATTTCTGTTGATATGACATGCAGATTAAAAAAATTCGCCATACATTACCGTCTCGATGATGGTGGGTGAGGTTTTCCGGGTTTTCCTCACCTGTAAGTCAAATGGCATCATCAATCATCTTTAAGTCGCCCCGGAGCGCCACGGCAAATAATAATAATAGCCGTCCCTTTCCCCGGACAAGCTCAGCTTTTGGGGTTAAAATTCACTCGTAAGGGGGTGAATTAGGGAGAGTATTATTATTATTATTATATTATACCGTATATGGTACTATTTTTTTTTTAATTATAGATAAAGGTCCAACTTAGGTGGTTCAGGCATTGATTTTTTTTAAATTAATTGTTTTTAATTAAAAACGTGTGGTAGAAAATGGCCTATTTTTAGACTTTTTTCATTGTAAGAATAAACTACAAATTCAATAAATTTTTTGAAAATGAAACCTTGAAGCACCTAAGTTAAACATTTTCTTATCAAATCGTTCAATCAGAAAATACGAAAAGGCTCAGACCTTCGAAATAGTTATAAATGAAAATTGGGTTGCATTTTATGTGTAAGGATATTACATTTCGTTTATGCTTTTACAGCATAAAAACTAATTAAAATTTGATAACATCAAATGTTTTCTTTTTTTAAATATATTGTAGTATTAAAAAAAAAATAATTACACTAAAACCAGTTAATAAAATGACAAAAAGAATATAGAATGTGTGATATTAATTTACAGTCGAGCAATGATAGCCTGGTTGAATTTGGTTACGTTGTTGAGTGATGATATTTAAATGAGCAGCTGGGTTTAGATACGAGGGTTTTAAAAATAAGTTAAATTTTAATAATAAATACGATGTAATCTTTTTTTAATTTTTGAGTATTTTAACTTTAAAGTAGTTTATATTAGAGTATCGAAAATGAATAGAGTTACTAGTATAAGCAGATACAACAACGATAGTAATAATAGTAGTCTTTTTACTTTCCTATCTGTATACAGATATAAGGAAAGTATAGGAATCATGATTTTTTTCGACCTCGAGTTTTCGACGGATTTTTACGTTTTGAGGTCCCCTGAATCCGTTTTGACTATTTTCGCGATGATGTCTGTCTGTCTGTGTGTGTGTCTGTGTGTGTGTGTGTCTGTATAACGCATAACTCATGAACCGATACACAAAAAAACACCAAATTTTAAACTTAAGCTTTGTTTCAGCGTCCAATGAGCTGATTAGATTTTGGGCAGAGTCGGAACATCTGGGGGGGTACTTTATAGGTGGTCATTTTTATATTTTATGGAATATATCTGTTATTTACGTTTGGAGAAGAAAATTCTTCAAATAAAAGTTACTTCTTATATAATTATCTATAATTTTTGTTTTATGCAAAATTTTCCTAAAATGGTCCGTATTCGAGAAATTTGACAAAATGTAAAAAAAATAATTTTTTATAAAAATTGTTCAAATAAAAGTTGTTTGTAATATAATTCTCTATAATTTTTATTCTATACATAATTTCTCTAGAATGGACCGTATTCGAGATATTTGAGAAAATGTGTAAATTTAGAACTTTGAAGAAAACTCAAAAACGGATTAAGAAAAAACATTAAATTTTAAACTTAAGGTTTATTTCGGCCTGACGTGAAATGATTAGATTTTGGACAAAGTCGGAACATCTGGGGGGGTACTTTATGGGAGGCCGTTTTTATATTTTATGGAATATATCTGTTATTTATGTTTGGAGAAGAAAATTGTTCAGATAAAAATTACTTACAATATTATTATCTATAATTTTGGTTTTACACAATATTTTTTTAAATGGTCCGTATTCGAGAAATTTGACAAAATGTAATAAAATTCAAATTTTTAGGAAAATTGTTTAAATAAAAGTTATTTATGATATCGATCTCTATAATTTTTGTTTCTTATATGATTTTTCTAAAATGGACCGTATTGGAAAAATTGAAGGAAAAGTGCTAAATTTAAATTTTTCAGTATTTTTGTTATCTAGAGAAAAATGTTTCGAGTTAAATGTATGTGGAAAATGTATATATTTAGTTTATCCTTTAAACATTTATAGAGGTGCTGCAATAGGTTGTACAAAATAACCGGAAAAAGCCTATAATAACTAGATAGGAAAGTCATGTGTTGGACACATTAGATTTTTTATGTTGTGGTAGTTAAGATAAGGTATCAACGGAGAGGTAATGCATTAGTCACTCTATTCATTTTCGTTACTGGGAGACAAAATGTTTCATTCATAAATACCTTACAATTGCGGACTGTTATTGTTTTAAAATTGGTAGTGAGTGGAAGAGAGAAAGACAGAACTCTTAGGACCTGCTGGCAACGTTGTAAACAGTGTCCATAATATGCTCGCCAGTGGCGTAGAGTTTTAAACTTACCAGTATTGTCAGAGTAGTATGTTAAAAAAATAAGTAAATATGTAGGTATATTTTTTTAGTAATTTAATTATGATGATTTTTTCATGTAGGTAGATTAGATTAGATTATGAGTTGGACGTTATTTGTCCTTGTCCACCGCGACCTTTTCAGATCTATTGTGGGACTCCTGTTTGTTTTAGAGTATGTCGTCTAGCCTGGTCTTTTTTATTAGTCTTAGTAGCTTTGACAGTGGCTCCCGCATGTAGTTGCATGCAATTGGCTTTTCTTCGCCCAATATTAGAAACCTCGTTCCAGCCAGGCATTCACATTGGCACAGGACGTGGAATATTGTTTCCTCTTCTTCTTCACAGAACCTGCACAAAGTTGCTTTTTCTGCTGGATTTATGACACTCATGTGCCTTTTGAGGCGACATTGTCCAGTAAGAAGGCCATTCCTGAGACTCTGTTTGCATCCATTGTTTAATGGATGCCTTGCACAATGCCTTAGCAACTTCACAGAAGGGTCCGGGGCCTGTCATGGCCTGATCTGAGCCTCCTCGGCCTAATTCGTCGGCCTTTTCGTTGCCCTGATATCCCTCATGGCCTGGAACCCATTTTGACTACTTAGCTCTGTCAGGTTTTCTAGACAGTCTTTCACCAGTCGTGATTTGATTTCTGGTGAGAGAATTGCCTTCAGAGTATATGACAATAGTTTTGCATGATACTTGCTCATTTTTCATGTAGGTAAATTCAAGTACAAGTAAATTCAAATACAAGCGAATTCAAGTTACCTTTCGATTTTTAATATTTATTGGTTTATAGTTTATTGGCATTTACTATATATTTGCCTGGTATGATGTTAACCAAAATTATTTAAAATTTTAAATTAATATTAAGTAGGTAGGGGTATCTAAATAAAACACTGTCCTAAAAATATATAATTTTTTAATTAATAATTACAAAAAAAACATAGTATGGCAAAAAATATTGTAAAAAAAATGTACAATTTTTTAAAATAATGTTTTAAATATATAAAATACTTTAATTTTATTAACTAAAATTTCATTTAATTTTTTTATGCTTAGTTATTAATGTTATAACTTACTGCAACATTTCTTTTTGCAGCAGGTGGTGTTCCAAAAACAGTTGAATCAGAACTAAAAACCCATACATTAGATAATACATACATATAGGTAATAAATAATGTTTAGAGGTAAACAAAAAATTAATATTTTGTATTTTTACCTGTTGGATAAGTCATCCAAAAATAGGAAGCCCTCACACCGTCTGGAGTTTGCATCTTTTCTAATATATCTAGTACCATTTGCACGTACCAAAACATTTTCAGGAAAACAGTGTTCTAAACACAACTCTAGGTTTTTTCAAAGGGGCTGATTTTCAAGGATTCCTATTAGAGAAAACCAAAGTTTTCTTTTCTCAGGATCTTGCGGAAACCTAAATAGAGTAATAAAAAATATGTATAGGTGCTCAATAGGTAAATCATTTTTAAGGTATTCTACATTTTACGTTAAATTTTCTTTGCCACTATTCAATATTTATTTATGGCATAAGAAAAATTTAATAATTTATAAAAGGAATATCACTTTAAAAACTGTTTTAAGACTGTTTTAGACTACACATGTTTTTGATACAATTTCTTGTAAAATTTAAATTGTATATTATCAAACCTGCAGTAAATTGTCTGAAAAATTAGATTGGATAATCATTTTTCAAATAATTTACTATGTGATCCTATATAATTTAAATTCTATAAGAAATTGTATCAAATCTTGTACAAGCCCTACTCCACTGGTTCAAATGAAAACAACATATCTTAACCTAAAAATACTTATCGATGAAACCATACATTTCGACTTAAATGATCTACCTTTTTGAACATTACACATGCATGTACCATAATTCTTTATATTTCTCACAAAAGTTCACAAAAATAGTATTTTATAAATGAATAAATCAATAAGTCACAGAGAAACTGTCAGAAATACAAAATAGCTGTTACACCTGATTGGCAACGTTGCGTCTGGTTACGGTACTACCCCAGTATAAAGAACAATACAGTAGCGACAGATCATTTTTTATGAGGGGTCCATATTTTTCTGCGCATGTCCGAAAATAAGCGACAAAAACGTCAACGTCAATAGTGTCAATGCGATGTAAATATGTCATTATTTTTGTTTGTTTGCAGTGCATATTGTGAGACATTTTTATTATTTTAGTTTTTTATTTATTGTGTGATATTTTTGAAATGGCTTCTGCACCTGATCAGAAAAGAAAGAGATGTGTCTATCGCCCTTGTCCACCTCAAACAAAGTAAACAGACAAAGGGACAAGTTATTTTGCATTTCCCATGGAGCCAGAAAGGTATGTCTTAAGAAAATACTTTCAATTTTTATATTTGAAAACCAAATATTTATTTGACAACCAAATATTTATTATTTAAATGTCTTGAGGACAAAAATAATGTAAAAAATATATAATTTCTGAACTACCGTCAATCTAAACATTTGTTATCAATTTTTTTATATTTTAGGGCCAACATGTAGTTAAGAGCTTGTAATAGGGAAGATTTGAGTAACATAGATGTGAACAGTCTTCATCGGAATTACAGGTTGTGTGAGAAACATTTTGAGAAGAATTGTTTTTCTAAAACGTTGAACCGTAAACGTTTATTGCCTACTGCTGTTCCCACATTTTTTATCCATCTAGGTCATCAGCCAAATGTCTATCTTCTCCCTAGTACATCGACCAAGTGCTTCCTCTGTTGAGACTATCATTGAACATGAACGAGACATTTTTGAAAGCGTACCATGTGCAACCTTTGGACATTCTTAATCAAAAATCCTACCTCCAAATTATTATAATGAATTAGATGTTCTTTGATTCACTATGTCCATTGATTAAAAATGTTCTGATTGACTACATATAATCAAAATATATATGTATTTCTTGTAAAGTAGCAAAAAGAAAACAAAAAAATGTATTTTGTGGTGTTATTATTTTAACTGTTTTTTAATTTTTGATTTGTTTCATTTATACAATATTTAAGCACTTAAACAATAATAATAATAATAATAATAATAATAATAATAATAATAATAATAATAATAATAATAATAATAATAATAATAATAATAATAATAATAATAATATTTATTGCTTCTAAACCTGAGTTACAGCAATGAGTACAGATATAAAAAAATTAGATCTTAAAACATAAAAACAACATTATTCTTCCAGTACAAAAGAGCGCAATTTTAATATATTCCAAATATATTCAGCAATTTTCCTAGCTTCAAAAATTGTTATATTTTGTAAAGTATGCAGCAATGAGTTTACATTTTCAATAAACAATGGATATGAAAAATTGCTTTAACAATTTAATCCTTAGATAAACTTATTCTTACATATTGCTTTAATCAATTTATTTACTATAAAAATATATTTCCTATCATTTATTACAAGTAATAAAATAAAGCATAAAACATACAAACTATAATATGTACCTACTTAGAACGGAACTAATATTAATAGGAAAACCGGACCAAAAGATGTAGAATAAATTGTCGCAACGGTTTTTAAAAATTACGATTTTTATATCATTTCTTTGGCAGTATATGTCCAAAAGTGTACTAAATTTCTAAAATAATGCATTCAGATATTTCTCTAAATGAATAAATAAAACTTCACCAAAAAAGGTTAAAAAATTCAAGTAATTTGATTGTGTTTTAATACTCATGTTGTTTAATAGCAATTAATAAATGGAGTGGTAATATTAATAATAATTTTGTTGCCAACAATTTTTCTTTCATAAATTCAAATAATAATTAGATATGTGACATTCATAACTAATATTCATTAACTCGAGAGATAAAAAACCCATTTTGTTTAATAACATTAGATGATGGGGTGATAATATTAATAACTTTATTGCCAACAATTTTCTTTCTACATAGCAATTCACAAATTACATTGTGCATCAGGTACCTAAATAAGTAAATGTAATATAAAATAATAACCCCACTAGAGAAACCTAAATTAAACAATTGTGAGACCATGTTTCTAGGATCAACCTTATCCAAAGCTTCAGAACTCTTTATTCTTGGTTATCCAAAACATGAACAGAAACATATTCAATTAAGCATAAGTTAATAACCATTCAATGATTATTAATAAAACTTTAAAGATCTTGTGAAATATTATCCAGAAAATAGTAAATAAATGCAATTGCAAAGAGAAATAATAAAAAGTACACAATAATATTGGTCTATAAATTGCCGTTTGATTTCGTCATACTTTTAAATATTATATTGTACATATTATTGTTTCTTTACACAGTTCACTATATTTTCAAGTTTTTTGTTAATGCAAAAAGAAAAATTTGTTCAATAAGTTATTTCACTGAATAAGTTCTAGTTTAACAATATACATTCAAAGACTTAAATTAATGTCACCAGTGTGTTACATAGAAAGAGTTAGTTGGTGATTGTCTTTTTTCAGCAAATATTTCATCATGGCTGAAGTAACAATGAACTTGTAATATAACTAGAGAATGATGCAATACACATTGCTCAATTTTTATAGGCTATATAAATCTAATGAGTTTATTACAAAGAATAATGGACCATAAAGATGCGATATAACAGAAAAGTTTTATTGTAAAATTACTTGGTTATAATTAAATTACAATGGCATAAATTAAGTTGTACATAAATAATTTAAATGAACACAAGTAAGCTATAAAGGGTTGTACATGGGCAAATAAAATAAAACAAAACCATATTCTGAAAAAATTATCATCAAAAAAAAAAGTTGTATCAAGGTAGTAATAGTGGACATTTTCCGAATAAAAAAAAGTAAAAAAGAAATAACGGTCGACACGTTTTTCTGACTATTGGTCTTTATCTGTACGGTGCAGCCAAGTTCAAAGGATCATGGAACTTGTGTTGGAAAAATTGTACAATAGCATAGGTCACTAACGAGGAGCCAATAACACATTTGCCGTTTCAGTTAGTATCCCCAAATTTTCTGGGCTTATACTAAAGTCACAAAATAATTCAATGGTCTTCCTATGGCTATCAGTTATTCTTTCCTAAAATTTTTTGGTATGCTACAACAAAACATACAAATTATTTGATTTTGTAAATACACAAATATTTGTGAAAACTTACACATGAAATGTTATTCCTTCCTTGAATCTTCTACCGTTAGATGCATTGTTACATTCAGGTACAAAACAACAAGAGATTTTGAAAATCCTGTAAAAACACCAAACCACAAATGTTTTTTATTAAAATAAAACACTAAACGACTAAACTGAAAACTAATGTTTTAAATAAAACCTTTACTAGAAGAACAAAATAAACAACACAACAGATAATAAAATCGATTATATACATCGAACGCCGATCCTACGCTTATTACTAAACTTGCGCCGATTCTGTCTTGTCAGTAGTGCTAACTTAAAATTTATTGACATTTATTTATCATGGCGCCCATCATATGAGGGGTCAAAATGTTTTTACGATGCGGTATCTAGACCTTCTGAGGGCTATGGTCGCTACTGTATTGTTCTTTATACTGGGGTACTACATTTCATTCATAAAAATTGTAAATTCGTAAAATAATATATTCAGCGTTGCCGTATTTACGGAGTTCTTCCAAACCCTAATATTTTGTTTAGATTAATATTGATTTTTTTAATAAAAAATTTAGCTTATATTAAAACTTCAAAGAATAATTTGATTAAAAACATATTTTTATTTATATAATATACAATTATAGTTACAGGTCACATCAAATTTTATTTTTCGAAAGTAATTTCTCCAAATATTTTTGACAGACTGATAAAATCGGCAAAGACGCAATGAACGAGAATCTGGTGGGAATAATGATTTGCCACATAAAAATGTAAACAATTTGGTCTCTTAGTTGTAATGTCTTTGGCTTCTTCTATTCCTCCAACGTTTTGTTTTTTTGAAGTTGTACAAGTTTTAATATTAATTTTTTTAACTCTAGGTTCTTCAAGATTTTGGTACCAACACTATTCCATGATGTAGTTGCTATTTAAAATAAGCCTGCATTCTAGTGTTAAAATCTATGTGCCCAAAATCGAAAGTGAGAGATTGCTTCTCAGACATTTCGACTGATTCAGAATATGTCCACTAAAGCTCCTGAAATGCCAAAAAACGGACACGAATTAGCACCACTGAACAACATGAACGGCCCCGAACCCAAGGGCAAGCAAGGGGTTACTATCGTGCTTCAAGGTCCTAGGGGCTCGATCATCTCTAGGGGTAGTGCGGCCAACGATGGCGATCCCGATAGGGCGGAATGGTCTGGAAAGTTGCAGTTCTTCCTCTCCATTATTGGATATTCCGTTGGACTAGGAAATATCTGGAGATTTCCGTATTTGTGTCAACAAAATGGCGGAGGTGAGTACTGATTATTAGTTACTACATCCATACTCTTTTTAAATCTTACTTGCAAATATTTATTTGCACATTTTAGAGTTAGATTGACATTGTTAAAGACTTAGAGCGCTTTCACACGAAGATACTGTATATGAGATACGCGTATCCGAGATTCAGGCTGACCATACATTCAAATGGACCTTTTCACACGGTACGGGCGACGCATACAGTATCGCGATACGGAATTTTTGCATCCCGCCACCTCCAGCCGCGGAGGCTGAATGCGTATGCCGCATACCGAATTACTATTACGATATATGGACCTTTTCAGACATGGATACTTTTGCAACGGAGATTATGTCATAGGCGCAGGATATTTTTCAAGGGTATCCTAAGTGCATCTAGTTTAATCGATTAAACTGTATGAGAAAACATTATTTAAAACATTTTAGTACAAAGTAACATTTTAAAAATTATGTCAGGTTAACTATTAACGGGCAATGGGGTCTATTCTGTAACAATTCCTTTATATTTAACGGCCTTTAAAAATATTTTCTTCTTTACTTCTGTCATTATTTAAACTGATCTTTAAAATACATTAGAGAACTATCTTAAAGAAATCTGTTTAAATAATAACAGATATAAATTAACGAATACAAATACACTTTTAAAGGCCGCCAATATTTTTAAAGGCCGTTAAATATAAAGGAATTGTTACGGAATATACCCCTATATGGGTAAACATTTTCATAATAAGCAACTTTTTATTAAGCAATTTATGAAATTAATACAATTTTCTGCAATTTTTAGAAAAAAATAATGTTATTTTGGACATTTAAAAAGGTCACGTGATTGTTAATTTGCATGTCATTCGTTATCATTTTTAAAGTAACAGAAGATGGCAAAGTCAAAATTCATCTACAGAATTTAGAAAAAAATCCCATACAATGCTCATTTTATGTGTGTCACGGTATTATATACTTCAGTATAATACACTCTTCTAGATTCATAATTCAAAAATATATGCACGGTAATGCTACTATTTTTGTACTGATGGAAGAGATGCGTGAATTCGATACAGCAGCCCAACTTTTCGACCGCGATCCTGTATCTCGGATACGCGTATCTCGCATTCAGTATCTTCGTATGAGTCGGTTATTTAAAATCTGTTTACCAAAATTCACTTTGACTAAAAATGCTTTCTATTGAAAGCTGGAGATAATTTAACTTTAAAATTCTCTCCTTTTAAGGTAACAACGATCTCTTTAATTATTATATTAAATTAGTTTGTAAAGATTTCTATTAACTAACATATGGATCACGCTATTACATAGTAATAATTTTTGTTTGTACGAATAAGCTGAACTATTATGTAATGAAATATACGAGGGTGAATCAAATATAAACGTTATTTTTTTTAAATACATTTATTGATTAATGTTATACACAAACAAAACATTTAACATTTCTCAACGTAGTTACCTCCATGCTCTACACACTTTTGCCACCGTTTTGGGAGTTTGAATATTCCTTCTTCGTAAAAAGTTTGAGGGCGAGTTGTCAGCCAATTACGCACGTACTCCTCTACTTCTTCATTGCTTTCAAATCTTTTTCCTCAGAGTGGTTCTTTTAAGGGTCCAAACAAAAAATAGACGAATGTACCTCCTGCTCAGTCATGGCTCTACTAAGGACAGAACCTACCATCAATCGCGCATCGCATCATCTAGGTCGGAATGGGGCATGTTCAAAATTTTGAATTTTTTTTTATGAATAATAGAGTTGAAAATAAAGCTACATTTTTTTCTCTCTTCATTTGCTAGAGTTATGAATTTTTTAAAATTTGTGATGTCATCGGGAATAGACCAATATTAGCTAGCGCCACAACATTGCCGGCTAGAAGGTTTACGAGAAGTGATGTACGTTCGCTTGTGTACTCCTTCTTACTTTTAGACTTCTAAAACATCGTTAAACAAATATCTTTTAAATATATAATATCAAATGTTTCTTGAAAGTATTATTTCTGTTTGAACTTTTACCATATTTAAAGTTTCATTGTTTTAAAAGTCACTTAATAATTCAGAAAATGGCAAAATGGCAGCACTGTGTATGGCATCTGTCATCATAGTGTCTCGATCAAGAATTTATTTGGAATTTGAGTGTTTAATTTTGTACTTTTTATAAATATGACACGAAAAAGTGTTTTGTTCCAGAATGTGATAATGATTTACATTCATCTTCAAAAATATTTATTAGTGTTCCTAGATATTTGGAAAGAAGAAAATCAACCTTCTACTAGCGATGTTTCTCGTGAACTTTTTAATAAAAATACACCGGATTATCAAGATGTAGCAGCAATTTCTGCTAATTGTCCCCTTTAGGAAATTGAAAATGAGGGTACTATAAATTCTTAGGTGTATAACCTAAAAACCCTTCTGGAAGAAAATGCCGAATCTCCTGAAAGTTTTGAAGATATCGACTTTATTTATCATTTTGTGGAAGAACTAGTGATAAAGAAATAATAGAAAAATGTGGGTATTTAAACAAACAGGTTCCTGGATCCCATATAATAGCAGATAGGGGTTTCAGAATATTCAGCTACTTGAAAACATGGGATGCACTTTAGTAAAGCCACACCTAGTGTATCACAGAATGAAAAAAGTTCTCGAGAAGATGTACAATTAAGTAAAAGAATAGCATCTCTAAGAATTCATGTGGAAAGAGTTATAAGAAGGGTTAGTTAATTTAACATGTTAAAACCACATTCTTGTGTGAATTTTAAGCAAGTACATTTACTTAGTAATATCTGCATAATTGCGTGTTAACTTACAAGAACCTATTTTGTAAAAGTAAATATTAATTTAATAAACTTTTTTTAGTTGTTTTTTAATTTAATTTACCTAATTATCACATTTCAGAGATTATAATGAGTTTTTAAACAGCCAATGTAATTTTTTATAAAATTTTAACTTTTCGAGCAAATCAAAGAGGAATGAGTACCTGTATATGCATAGATTTTTTTGAGACTAAAACTACCAAACCAAAGGCACCTATTTACAGCCACCTATGTCACAGTGATAAATATTAAAAACAACCAAGTTCAGTTGAATGTGGTAGCAAAGTATATATATTCCAATAAATCGGGTAACTACATGTGGTATCACTGGTGATAAATTTAAAAATATCACAATTCTTGCCACCTTTTTTAAAAAACCAGAAAGTGTGCCTTCTTATCAATCCTTTATGAAAATGACAACAGTGATAAATGTGAAAAACAAAAAATTTAATGTTGCTATTCGTTATTACGACAGTAAAACATGTTTGCAGTTCCGTTTATTTTTTATGAAAATCTAAGTAAAAACAACTAATGTCAAATGTCAAACCAAATATATCACAAAATTAAAAATTGATCGTAGGTCAAGCTAAAGTAATACCTTTATTGATAGTAGCTTTAAAAAAGGAGAAAGAATAATATTGACTTAAGTTATTATTATTAACATTGGTGATTTTTAATAAAAACTCTTTAATTATTGTTTACAAACAAAAATATAAAAATCTGAAAATTTTATTTATTAACCTTTTAATAAAAAATGAGAAAAATGAAGTAAAAAACAATTTATTTACAAATAAAAAATATATATATACAAATCCTAAGAATATAAAAGTACTGATTTATTTTCCTGTAGTGGATGAAGAGGTTTCTTTAACAATCTCGCCCAAAAGTACATCAATATTTACGCATTTTGATAAATTAGAGCCTTTCCAATAACACAGTTTTTTTTTTTAACCACACCACGTTTTTTGGCTCTTACAATATTATAAAATATTCGAAATATTGCATTTTTAAAAAAATTCTCAATTCCTTGCTGACTTCAAAGTTTTTTTTCTGAAAACAAATATACTTACCACATTTATAGGATTTTAAAACAGCCTGAACATGTGTCATAAGTAGTTGTTTTTATATATAAAAAAGCAAATTAAAAAACTGAAGTGTCCTGCTGACTTTATTCCAACAAAGCACCCTGTATCATTTAAAAATAGCAATTTTTTAGTAAAGTTTTACAATATTTCAAGAGTCTAAAAATATTCTAAAAATGGGGTGTGGTTTTTAGAAAAAAGATTTAAAAAATCGAATTGCTCTGCTGGCTTCTTTCGAAGGTTAGCAAGCACCATGTATTTAAAAAATTTTTTTTTTTTTTTGGAAAAAAAAAATGATAATATTTCAAGTGCATAAATATAGGGTGTTGCTGTTTTTACAGGAAAAACTATATAAAACAGAGGTGCTTTGCTGACTTCGTTCGAAACTATCAGAGCATTTTAAGTTTTGCACAAAAGGAGGAGCATAAAATTTTTGAAAAGGGTATAAAAATAGCCTAAAAATATGGCATATGTTTTAACTCAAAATTTCATAGGTGCTCTGCAGCATTCCTTGGTATTATAATTATTACTAGGTTCACTAACAAAATCTATTTCTAGATTATTTTAACACTTGCTGCGATTACAAAAAATGTCTCTTTATATGTCAAAATTAGAAAAAAAATATTTATAGGAATAAAGGGCCTTATACACTGTTTATTATATGTGATATAAAAACAAAAAAGCAAAACTGCTAATACTCATGCTCAGGATTTCGAGACGCTTCTCGAACTTGAAGAGTTTCGACCATTAGCTAAAACTGACCATGGACTAGTAAAACCAGTGGTAATCATGACGGTTGATGGAGGGCTAGATGAAAATCCGCGTTATCATAAAGCCATAGGGTTTGCTATACAACACATTAAGCGACATGATCTTGATGCATTATTTTTAGCTACCAATGCTCCTGGAAGAAGTGCGTATAACAGAGTAGAGCGCAGAATGGCTCCTCCTAGTCGGGAACTGGCTGGTTTAGTATTGCCTCATGACCTTTTTGGGTCTTATTTGGATAAACGTGGCATTACAATTGATGAACATTTAGAAAGATCTAATTTCGAATTTGCAGAGGAAATGTATTGGCTGAAGTATGGAGTTCAATGGACATTGAT